CCTAGGACATAAACGGCCTTTCTGTCCCGCTCTGCTCTGCCAGGGCCTGGGCACCTGGATGTGTTAATAGATATATGAAGGTAATGGTTGTCTTAGAGATGTGTTTGGGTTGTCATCATGTTGGATTTCTGCCCTGTGATCAACTTCCCTAAAGCAGAGACAGACCATGATACTCCCCCCATGATGCTTGAATGTGTAAACGAAGGACTGAAAACAATTTCTTTTATTGACCCACAATGAGCAAATTCATTCTCTGCATTTAACCCATCCCCTTGGGGAGTACAATTGGTGTGCGGCACCCGGGGAGCAGTGTGGGGTCAAGGGTCTTGCTCAGGGACCCAGAGTGGAGGCTGTGGGGATGAACAAGGTATTGCAACCTTCTCAGAGTGCACTGCTCTTACCCTCTCCCAAACATCTTAACCAAATTGTTTATGTTGGTCTCATTAAACTACAGGACACGGATCCGGTAATGTTAGAGCGCATCAACTTTAGAAAGAGGGTTAGACTGATTTGATGCACTGCTCATATGTCTTGTTTATAAAAGCTCTGGACATTAGGCTGAGCACGTGCAGACCACTTCTTCTATTAACAACTAAACAGCTCTGAGTGGAGCCTGTGCTGGTCAACACACGTATGATCGTTTTTCAAAAACCTATTTTTAACCTAACTCAGACCCTAACTTAACTCAGACCTGGTAGATGTTTCCCCTCTGAGAAAATGCTCCAAAGTGGGAGCATTTTAAAATAAATAAAGTACACACTGCCATCTAGTGGTTAATAGGGAGAAGTTCACTTTAACCTCAGTGAAATACTTTGAAAATCCACATTTCAATCCAATAGTGTTATTGGAATCCAGGACAAGACCTTATTACCTTTGTAACATTTGTAAGGGGTATGCAAGTGATTAAAAACGCTAAATTATTCTATAAAGGGCAAAGTAATGCAATTGTTTGGCATTTTTTAAGGTTCAATGGCCAACGCTGTAAATGCAAATAATTAAACAGGTATTTAAATTTAAATATAGATGTTTTAATAGATACTCTCAGATAAAAAGTAATCCACTATTAGTAAAACCAAATGATCAGTGATCCATTATTTTATTTTTTTTAGCAAAACACAGCCGTAGTGATTTGCTGAACATTAACAAGTGTGTTTAATGTTCTGCAAATCACTGCGCCTGGTGACACAGTAAACACGCAGCTTTCCTTTATGTGCCTTTTTCATGGCAGATTGCTCCCCAATGACTACACTTATAAACAGCCTGGTTAAACATATCCACCGGCTGTTCAGATAGGTGGGAGGTTCATTAAAATCAAACCATTCAGGGATAAGAGCCATAAAAATGAATGGAGGTGAGTGAGACGGTCTTCAAAAAGAATAGAAGGAGTCTGAATAAAGGGCAGTACAGAAGAGGATTAGGGCCACTGAAAA